CTCTGGCAGGAGGTGGCGGTGGTGCCGGCAAACCACACCTTCCTCATTCCAGAAGGCATGAGCTTCGAGGAGGCAGCAGCTCTTCCTGTCAACTACATCACTGCCTACATGATGCTGTTTGACTTCGGCAACCTGCGGCCCAACCAGAGCGTCCTAGTCCATGCTGCTGCAGGTGCTGAGACAAATACAGATACACGGATATGCAGCATACATGTTTATTCGTTTCAATGACGTTTGTATTTAATGTAAATTGGTTAATAATTCGCTCACAAACTAACGCAAACATTGTTTTGTCCTGTTTGCTGTAGGCGCTACAACTATCAGTGACTTTATGTTGTAATCCTGCAGCTGAAATCACATTTAACCAGTTTCATCTCGGCTAACTGCTCTGGAGTAAGCAGCCACGATGATGAGTTCAGTTGTGCACGAGGATCCTTTCTAGAGAATGTAGCGCAGTAAGCTTTAAATACTCTGCAGAAGCTCAATAGAATGAATAGTTTAATGTTCACAGTACCACACCTGATTTTCCTTCTCTGTACTTCTTGTTTATGTATATTCGTATGTTCTGTGTGAATTATGGCTGTTAGAGAAGGTCTCGTTGTTCATTAGCACGAGATATGGCTCAGTGAGTGCACTCTCCAGTGCTGCACTAATACTGGAGCACCTGCCACCTGGACTCTAAGGTCAGAGTGGGTAGGGGGAAGAAAGATGGGGACTGAGGGAGTAAAAGCACCTGGTTTCGGGTGTGTTACACTGAGCCTGAGAGCATTTGATATTGCTGTGTTTACATTATCAAGCCAGCTGGAGAAAAGGAGAGTGCATTGGCCAAAAGAAATTCTTCCCTCTTCATTTCTCTCTTGCTATCTACCAGTATACAACTCTGTTTTCATCTTGTTCCAATTCTTTCTGTACAAGGGAATCAGAAAGGAATCCCTCAGCATTCAGGACAGTGTGTGGGTGTAAATGTCTAAGGGATGTTCACGCATAATGAAACCAGAACCTCTTTCCCCTCTGGGTAGACGGAGAACTCTGGGAGAGTGTCTGCCCAGGTGATAGTATCCCTTGGTATTAACACAGTAACTCTGAAAATGAACAAGTCTGCACAAATTGTAGTTTGAATGACAGCTGACAGACTTGTAGTTGTGGGACCGGTGGTCACAGAGGAATCCCAGATGTTTATGTCGACCATATCATCCAGCTGATGTCACTCATCCCTCTAAGCGCACACATTGCCAGAGGTTTTCTGTGCAGAATATGTTTGCTATAGGAGGAATAGGGATAGGAGGAGTGCAGTGAAAGACACTTATTTCCACGGGTTTGGTTGAGGCGGCGTCTCTGGTTTCTCATGGCAGGCTGCCAGTCTTTGCTTCCCAGCTGCCTGGACATCAGGGATTGTAAAAGCACATTGCTGAGACCATGACAAAAACATTTGCTTAACAGCCTGTCTTCCTTCACTGTTATTGTTTGCACGTATAAACTATTCTCATACTTGGAGGCTATGTTGTTCATAGCTGTGCACATGAGAGTGCTAACGCTTTCTTACAGCGTCGTGGAGCTGCACAGCTCACACGTTGCTGGATGGTGTGTGTGTGTGTGTGTGTGTGTGTGTGTGTGTGTGTGTGTGTGTGTGTGTGGGGTCCTCGTGTCTCTGTAGTGGGCCTGATGCTTCTGATTAGAGAGATCAAAGATACCTGCTGTGACAGGGTCAGAGACTCTTCTCAAGTGTGCATTTTTTTAATAACATGACAGAAATTGCCTCCGGTGTTGCATGTTACGTTCTAAATGTATTCCAACACTGGACATGTCTATTTTGGCATTATTGTAACCAATGACATGGTGCTGAATCTATAAATGAATTGGCTGACACGTTTAAATTTTTACTACTTTTCTACATTTAGATCACTGTTAATTTAATGTCTTTACATTTTCAACTGTAGGTCAGTCACAGTAAGCAATTTGAAAGCATGGCCCATGTAGCTGCACACTGGTTCAGTTCTAGTTTTTTAGGGATCGCCACACTTCGTACGGATGTCTTCAGAAAGTTTTATTTTCTTTCTCCCTGTGTTTTCCTCAGACACTGTGAAAACTACAGAAGGAACAACAATAAAGAATTTGAACATATTTCACAGTGTCTTTCAAAATCTTAGGCTAATGTCCACTAACAAACTTTCATCCCATGATGCCTTGGATTTATCTTACGAACCTTCTAGGTGAATCAGTGGTGTTACCGATGGCTGCCAGGAAGTCATGTGTCTAACTGCACAGCGGTGATTTTGTGTGACACACTTGCACAACACTGCGCTCCTGCTAGATCCGTTTATGTTGAGAAAAGATAAAATAGTGACCCATTGCGCAAGATAAACTGGCCTTTGTGAAAAACAGAGAAGTAGCTGTACAGTCAATAAACTGAGTTTTCACCGTTGGTCACTGGGCATGGTTAGTTAATTATGATTTAAATCCATCTAATTCTTATTGTAGGCCTATCACAGCAGCTACACACTCTGTTTAAAGAGCAATTTTCTTCTTCTACTGTCTTGTTAAGGTCTTTTCACCACTACATCTTTCTAGTAAATGCTCAAGGGGCTCAACCTCAGTTGACCTGTCTTATGGTTGACTGGTTTAGTCTCATAATAAGAATGTAATCCACTGATTTAATTGCTTTAGAGAAACCTTCTTGCAATTACTTTCAGATTAGTTTGTCACCCAAGCCCCTGGAGCTTACAGTTAAACAGATAATTCTTAATTAAATAGAAAATATTATGTTTTTATAGTACCATTATCCTCAACAGTTATTGAAAACACAACAAAATCTTATTAATTAACGAATTTTGTTTTGTTTCTATAATTTGCCCCAAAAAAGCTGTTGTTGTGTTTTTGCCGAGCTATCTTTTGACCCGTAACCCATAAAACCACAACTTGTCATTTTTGCACATGCACAGCTTTTAAATGGATTAACCAAACAAGGTATACTTGTGTATAATTGTTTCCCCATGTGACCGGTCTATCCTAAACTAATGCAGAAAGCCAAGCTAAGCCAGCCTGCCCTGTGCTCCAGCTACATGTTTAGACTGAGTGTTATTAATCTTCTGTGTTGTGAATTGTATTTGTTAATGTTAAAAAATTCATAATGTTAAAAAAATTCCATTATGTGGAATAGTTTCAGGTAAAGGGTAAAACTGGAGTAACATATTTGTTAAAAACATTATCAAGGTCATAAATTTGATTGGATTGTTACTGATGCTCTGTAGTGAGGACTTTGCCACAGGGGTGATGAGCATCCATCCTCTTGTCTTTTGCCTCTCTGTTGTTCCACAGAGACAGGTAATGTCCTATCAACTCATCAGGAGCTCTCCTAAATAAAGAGCATAATATCCTCAAAAGTGTGGTGACCTTTTACCCATCAACATCAGGTGACCAGTGCAGAATGCCTGACTGGTTCAGTCAGACATGCTTTAATGTGTGTGTGTTTGGTGAATCATCCTTGGCTGTTCCTCTTGTGGATCTGCTCCTGTCCTCTCTCTCTCTAAACAATAGCTTGTTGTATTTCCTCCCATCGTGCCTCTCTTCTCCACACATCTGCATCCTCCGTTCTCCTCCTCTCCCTCCAACCCTCCATAATCTTCGCTCCCTCTGCATGACCTCGCCATATCCGTGCTCTAGTCATCGGCATCAGGGAACATGCACACTTTTCTCCTTTTGTTTTCTCCAGAGGACTTGGGCGTGAGGAAGTTCAGTGACATCTGGATGTATCTCGTGGGTCTTCCACTGTGCCCGGCCAAAAGCCTTTCCTCTGACCTCTCCCTGAACTGGGCCTGATGTTTATGAACCCTGCCACCACACCCACACTACACATTCCTGCATACTTATGGGGCTCCGCTGCTTCCAGTGATGATGTCTATGCTTTATATATGAGGTGTGGAGTGACAATGCAGGGCCAATGTCAAGTGTCATGCATTGTGTTGCAGTTACGGAATACAGATGGGAAATGATATGAATTTGGTGCTGCAGCAGCCTGTGTCATCAATTTATCTGATTATTCTGCTTCCTTAGCCACTGCCTCCTACTGGATGTCAAGGCGGTGATATTTTGGCACCAACTCTGCCAGAATTTGTGGTTTAATTCCAACTCAAGCTTCTCATATTGCAGAAAAACATACTCCCTATTATCACTGTAACTTATGTTTGGGGTTAGTGCATTAGATTCCACACACTGTCGGCACTATTATGGTGGCCACGGTACTTTTGTAGCCGCTGTTTGCTGGATTTTCAAAGTATGGGATTCAATAGGACGGATTACGCTGTAGATTATCTGGAAGTTACTGATGCAAGAAGCTTCAGCAATACAACCTGAAGAGTGAAATCAGTGGCAGATTTCAAGCCTTATTAATAGTTTTCTATAGAGTTGAGCTGCTGATTCTGGAAGTAAATTTTCCTACTGTAAGTTTCTGCATGAATATTTTCTTTTAATAATACCCTCATTGTTCCTCATTGAAATGAGGGGCTCTGTTGGATACTTTAATACTGTATTATGGCCCTCAGTTTTCACATTTCAATTGCCATGTTTCTCAGTCATGTTTTTTTAATCCATTTATTATGACAGATGGCTGTAAATACTGTACCGGAGCCAGTTGCAAATCAGAGCTGTGGTAAATTTTGACTGAAGAGGGCAAATGTGATTCACACTGGACCCTGAATTTGAACAGGTGAAGGTTTTATCACGTTTAAACAAAACCTGGTTTTTAGTTTTAACTCACTGTTACTGGTGCAGACAGCAGAATTTTAATGTGTGAGGTTGGATGTTTCTTGCTAACATTATTATTGGCATATGCATGTACATTTAACAAAGACCCATATATACTGTATATTATCTTACATACAGTAGTTGGTCATCTTTTGTACGTACCTCTAGGAAATGCAGCATGAACTTCTTGAACCCTAGTTGCCTGAAATTGCTCCTTTGTGAAATTATGGCCTTAAGCATATCTTTACCACTGTCTTATAGAAACTTGTGGTGTTGTTAGAGGTGCACTGTAAATGGTTAAAGCAAGTAGAACAGGTGGCTGGTTTTCATTGGTTTGGTGAGTGAGAGCCTCATCCTGGTGTACATCTTCATAACTGCTGTCAGACCTGCAGGCAGGGCCTCAGGAGCCCTCAGTGCACAGCTGACTGCATATGGAATGGAAAACTGAAAAGCAAAACATGTTTTGAAAGTAGGATGGCTGCAAATGAATTGGGAGAGCTACGAGTAAAGAAGTAAAGATTTGTATGTATCTTATTTCTCCCAAGACAGTCTCAGGTTGTTGTTCTCATTCATTATTCACAAATCCCTTGCTATTAAGCATTAGATCAAGTGTAGTTACATCTCTCACTTTTATGGATCTGTTGTCCCTGGGAGCTGTGATAAACGTCTGATGTGCCTTGAAAGTGGTTTCCTCTTCTCTCTGCTCGGGAGCTCTTACCCTACTTTAGAGAATGCTAATTCAGTCTGACCACTAAGCGGGAGTTTGGGCTGCGTGGTTGAACCGTCTCTGTGTTCCTCAGGCCTGGCATCACCAGCAGCAGATCAGCTGCACTGATATGAGAGGGAAACCAGGGCAACCTCCACCCTAACCCACCAGTCACATCACTCACTCGCACTCTCATCGCTGCTGCCGTTGACAAATGACCCCACCCACCCCCATCCTAACCACCGTATACAGTCGCAGGTGTATGTGAAACCTGTGTCAGGACACCTGTTTGTGTGTGTGTGTGTGTGTGTGTGTGTGTGTGTGTGTGTGTGTGTGTGTGTGTGTGAGAGAGAGACTCTGCAAGATGAGTGTGCACCAGCTCATGGTTCATTCTGCAGCCAGGTGTTGTGTTTGTGTTAGCAGCAGTGTTGTGGTACTCAAGTAGGACTCAAACTTGAGTCCAGATTTTCAGGACCCATGACTTGACTTGGATTTGAACACTGGAGAGGTGACTACAACGCTGGTTACCAATTTGATCATCCTTATTCAGGAAATCACAGAGACCGCATTCACACAAGAGCAGAGGATGTTTGGTTTTTTTTTATTTTTTATTCACTCACCCAGTAACTAAAAATGGGCTTCCTCTGTGCTGTACAAAGAGAAATTCATCATCTAAGAGGGCGTGTTAAACCACTCTTGCACAAATACACACACACTTAGGCTACGCAGTCATCTCAAAAAACATCTAGGTTACATAATGCAGAGTAATAGCTCAAGAGTACATGTCCACAGACGGACAGCCACAGCTCCTATCACCGCCACAGGACTCATAGCTGAACTCTGTGAAAGAGCTGCAGAGAATAGCAATGAAATGTTCATTTATTTGGTTCAGCTTGTTGTTGTTGTTGTAACACTGCCATAGCGGTTTTGGGTAAAAACAGACGCTTGTATTTTATTCTTTGTCAACCGCTACTACCACAAGTTAATGATAGGTTAAGAAAGACGAGCCCTTGAGGAAATGCACAAATAAAGGCAGAAGAAATCGCAGCAGGAAACAACGCAGAGCTCAGACACAAGGGACCAGTGATTTCTCTGGTGCTGACAGTAGCCATATGGCCACAATCCGTCGCCCGCCTGGCTCACACAGTTGAGAAATCCTGCTATGTGAGATCAATTTTATCTCAGCAAGAAATGTGAGCGGTCAGTGAAGATGTAGATTGAGAGATGTGTTAATCAGGATGACACTGACGTGCTATCTATCATTTTATTTATTTATTTAGTTGTTTAATGAATATGAAAAACATTTCTGACGTCTTCGTCCACCTCTGCTGTTGAACTGTGGGCGTGGAGCAATAACACTGGCCTCAGTGTCGGTCTGGGTTGTGCTATGTTTTGGGCAAATTCCTATTCGCTCTTAACACTCATGTTATGGAAGCCAAGTGCAGTTTGTGCCAAAATTCAAGTATGTAAGGATTCAGGGGAAGACAAAACCCTACTGTGTCAGCTCTTTCTCCAGAGAGAGGACAAACAAGATAGATATGACCACTTTTATGACATTTCATAATTTGCAAACGTAAACAATGCAATTGAATCTTAAGGAGAAAAATGCAATTAACAGAAAGAGTTTGCTTATAGTGGTTTCGCTTCCATGAGTAACGGGTAAGTGTTTGTGGATGGTCTTAACACTTTGTCCTTACCAACAGAGATGCTTCTAGTCTAAAGAAGTACAAAAGTGTGTGTCAGTAAGCAAAGGAAACAACTAAAGCACCGGGTTAATGAAAGTTTAATATTTTGATTTCTGTGCATATTTGTGAAGATTAGTGTGTAGCAGCCATAGAAGACTGTTCAAGGCTGCAGCCCCTCCTCCCTCTGTGATCTGTGTATAGATGGATGTGTTTGCGTAACTTTGTGTGTGTTGATTTGTGAAGCGAGGTGGGGTGTGGCAGGGGGCTCTTTCTTGGCACAGCTCAGCAGTCTTGTGATCGGAGATCAGGAGTTTGTTCTCTGGGGATTTGGGAAGAGGTACCTTCTTCCTCTTATGGTGCAAAATCTCTTTGACTGGAAACGCATTTTTACATGCTCAGGTTTTGCAAAACAAAGTTATTTGATTATATAGATAAAAATATCTATTTTGTTTTATTGCCATGCCACTAATTATTTAAGGCCTGAATGGAAAGTAAATCTCTGTTTCATTAAGTTAAAGAAAATGGACTGATTTCTGACTAAAGCAGACACAGAAAGGGAACCACTGTGTTTATGACGGCAGCATTAATTAAATATTAAAATGTGAGTCTCTGAGTGTAGGTATGTAGGATTAATGGATGCATGATCCTGTTGGACACTTCTTCACACCTGTGTGTGAGGGTTGCTACTCTGACAAAGCCGTTTAATAAAACCAGCTCTTAAACACCCCGTCCTCAGATGATGCACAGTCAACACTTCCCTTTCTGTACTTCTACCTGACATACACATATACACGTGCTTGTGCAAAACCAGTATGTCAAAGGCATGTGTTTGCATGTGCAAATGTTTGTATAGTATGCAAATTTTTGTTGGGTGTATTTATCACAAATCTATGTAAATCCTGCCCTTTAAATTAATACTCAAACTTTTAACACATACTTACCAGTGGCTGGCTAACCAAAGCTTGGCGCCTACTAAGAGAAAGTCTGTCAAATATAAACTAATAAAGTAGTGATTGCCATCAAAAGATCTGTATATGCCCAAAGGAAGAACAGTCAATGAAACAAAATGGCTCCCTTTGCTCAGTCATTGCCGGTAATTTGGCCAACGTTTCCCTGGCAACACAAACTTGGTTTCTCACTGAGGACAAGGAGAGATGGTGCTGTTATAACACAGCCACAACAACACTCACATCCAATAGCAACAGCCTGAGTTTTGTTTTCTCATCAGTTCTCCCCTCGGTGTCAGCAGGTGCGTGTAATGCGAAGTGGTCTATTCATCTCATGGACTCCCAGATGAGAAGCAGAAATCAGAAATTGAGGACGGGTGAAGGGGCTGTATTCTAATAACTTCTGGGACAATGCATATTTAACAGAAAAGGTTCTGAAATGAAACTTTTAAAAATATATATATATAATATAAAATGGTTTTAATTGTATTGTTAGCTCTCAGTTCATTTTTTTTTTTTTGCCTGTGTCAGTGCTGGTTTTACAGTGTGTGATAATGCAGCCTCAGAGAGCAGCTGCCAGGATGTCACTGAGGAAACTGTGTTATGCGGCTGGTTCATTGACTAACAGTAATTTTTATACCAGGATGAGGGCACCGCAGGGTGCATCAGTGTCATGTGATGCACTATGTTCTCCCCACAGAACAAATATACAGCCATCATACTACTGACATTAACATATACATTATCAGAGGAAATGAAATGGGGAAGAATTTTTAAAATTTATTTCACATGATAAAATCAGAGATGCAGCAAATTTCAAAATGATCTGTGGTTGCTTTTGCGTAAGTCTAATCGTAGGCCTTGTAGCACATGCATGTGTGCATATGTGCCTGTCTTCCTGTTTGGGCTTAGTTGCCTATGTAAGCAAGCAAGTCATGATTTTATCATTCTTATAATCAGAACCTGCCCAGCAGCCCAGCTATGCTGTTAAAATGGATGCTCAATAAATGCATGTATTGCTTTGTGTTGTTTATTCACTGGTATCAGATAAGATATGCTCTTTATGTGATCAGGCATGAATGACCTTTATGGATGCCTTTCAGTTCAAGTCCTCAAGTCGGCCTCCATTTCAAACAAGACATTGCTTATGAGTAACCTATTACTTCTTGCTCTGGCTGCCTTAGCAAACACTGTCAGAGGCATTTTGCACAGTTATGTGCACACTTTCAAATTCACAGAACACAAACACAGATATCCAAAGCATCTACACATAGTCTCCCAGCACTTTGTCTTTAAAAGTTATCTGGGGCAGGGTAGAACATTTTGTTTTCAGCTGACATGGTAAGAAGGAGCTGTGTTTATTATGTAATTTGCATTAGAATGTCATCCAACGCTCCTTTTCGAACAGAACAGATACCTCAGCTGCATCTACTGTCCTGTGGAACTCTAGGCAGGTTGTCTTGAATAAGGAGCCAGTAAATTTGATGTTTTATTTCAGCTACAATGGCTACTTTTTCCCGGGTTTGGATGTGTGTGTCTGTGTATCTCTGTGTGGGTGTCTATTCTTCTCAGGCCAGCTGGGGTAATGTGATTGTAGTAATGTGCTTTTTACATACCCCTGAGCAAAACACATCCACGCTGCTATTGACTGGTTTGTTTGGAATAATAAATAATGAAAATCCCATTTGCCTGCCACAGAAAATACATGTGCAGTGGGAATTCTTCAGTGTCTTTAGCTGGTTTCTTCAGCTTTCATGTGGATCTTGGTGTTACCTAAGACAACCCTATTAAGCTTGAATAAGCAGTACAGCCTATCACAGGTGATGCTTTTCTGTAAATTGAGGCTGTTTATTCACCCTGTCCATCTTCCTTCAGGTGGTGTGGGCATCGCAGCCACCCAGCTGTGCAAGACGGTGAAGGACGTGGCTGTGTTTGGCACAGCCTCAGCCAGCAAGCATGAGACCATCAGCCAGGGCGGAGTCACACATCCCATCGACTACCGCACCAAGGACTATGTGGAGGAAGTCCGTAAGATCAGTCCGAAAGGTGAGAAACTTGACCATCTCCACTGGGGAAAATGCTCCAGATATGGGGATTATTTGCGCAGGGATGTGCAATTGGAAATAAATAAATGGCCAGTATAGACTATCTATAAGCCAGAGTTCACAGTATGTTCTTTATGGAGATTGTCTCATAAGACAAATAGTGAATCGATACATTCCCACTGGCACAAAGCAATACTGTGCTACTGCAGCATTTGTTGATTATTCATTCATTTATTCATCTTCTACCGCTTAATCCCGGAACGGGGTCACGGGGGGGCGTGGCCAATCTGGCAATCGGGCGAAGGCAGGGTACACCCTGGACAGGTCGCCAATCTTTCGCAGGGCTAACACATAGACGAACAACCACACATGCACACGCACTCCTATGGGCAATTTAGAGACACCAATCAACCTAAGCTGCATGTCTTTGGACTGTGGGAGGAAGCCGGAGTACCCGGAGAGAACCCACGCAAGCACAAGGAGAACATGCAAACTCCACACAGAAAGGTCCCGGGCGGGGCCCGAACCCGGAGCCTTCTTGCTGTGAGGCAATGGTGCTGCCCCATTTGTTGATTAGTGTTGAACAAACTGCAGACAGTGAGATGATACATCTTCATGTTTTTTTTTCCCTCTTGACACAGTTCTCAAC